AGGGTGCGGCAGGGCTTCATCCTGAGGTGCACAGCGTGGAACCATAGTTCGGGCAAAAATAGTTAGTAAGGTTCTTAAACAGAATAGATTCGATGATTAGCCGCATCCTTGTTTTGGCATGTTTCCAAGCACTGCCGACTGGGTGCAATGCATCAAATCAGAAAAAAGTCGGAGACATCAGCATGCAGCGATTGTGAATCATTCTGTGTCGGAATGCATGCGTTTGCGTCCTGAGCCGATGATTCTGATTGCCTAAGGGTTCTAAAGATCAAGCGCGGAACACTAGGCCCCGCCACGTAGACCTGTCGTTGCGACATGACGAATAAGAGACGAGGACAGCCCGCTGAGCAGCGAGCACCCCCGAGCAAGCGCAAGTCTGGGAGCAAATCTCAGGAGGACGAGACGGTCCAGGGCGAGCTTTCTGAGGCCTTGACCGAGGCCCTGAATCAGTTCGATGAACTCTGGGCTCGGCACGAAGACTGTGTTGAGATCCTTCAGTCCGAATTCCCGGATCGTGTCGCAAGGGAAGGCTGGGCCATGAAACTGCACTTCTGGTTTCCACCCAACGAAGACAAGGCCGAGAAGTACCTCACCTCGGCCTGGAACCACGACCACGGGCTGGTTTGGCTACGGCCTTATCACTGGTCCTGGGAGAGACAGGCCGGTAACAAGGGCACGGTGACCAAGGACGCTTTTCGGGTGCTGATGCGAAGCATTTTGACAAGAGGTTTCCTGACCGACCCCATGGAGGCCGGAATTGAAATTCCGGTGGTGCGCCCGCCCCGCTCTGAGTCTGAGTTGGACGACACGGACAAAGAGTCAGAGCCACCGATCCTGGTGGAGCCCAATCTGGCGGCGGCGTACTCCGTGCACGAGATCAAGGGCTGGACCCGCGCAGTGGCCATGCACTTGACGTTGCTGTGCGTCGAAAAGGCTGGGGTAATGGACGCTTTCCTCGAGGACAAGATGAAGCAACAGACCTTTGCGACCCAGCAGGGCAACTACATGTACCTTTCAGGCGACCAAGACGAAGTTGATGTCAACAGAGGCTGGGTGTGTTTCTCCTTGCTTAGTACGTTAATCGTTTGTAAAAGAAAAGGAATGATAACTCAATGATCATTTTTACGCCCTACACTGTGCTCAGATATCACCATGCGCAGCGTCCTGACGCGCTTGAAACCGAATGCGTTCACGTACCTACACCAGCTACAAAAAAAAATGCGCATTTGGCGATCGGAAGCACGGGAGCAGATGGTGGCATTCGGTTCTTGCGTCGCGGAGTTTCAGTTGACCAAAGCCGAGATTGACGCTGTGGAGAACTTGTTGATGTACTTGCCCTCAAAAGCAGTTTACAGACTCAACAAGGTCGCGTCTTCCTACGGAATGTACAAAGGTCCGATTACCCACGCCGGCTTGGCAAGCAAGGCTCTGAGACTGGGTTTCAGTCCAAAGGTGGAGGTCGACTTCTACATGGAGAAGATGATGAACACCGAGGAGACGGTCCACTTGGTCATTGACCGGATTATTCACGACTACAAGAACTCTCCGGCGGGCATGCGCAGCAGCGCCGGGGATGAGACGGTTCAGAACCTGCAGAAGATCTGCAGGATGTTCCTGCTACATGTTCAGCAGCTGTCCTCACAGCTTCCCGAGTCGGTCTTCACGAGCGAAATCAACGGTCTACGTGAGGCATTCTTTGCTGGCTGTTTCGATGACCACCTGCTGGACTGACTTTCTGTCTAAGTCTCATAATAAAAATAAGTTCAATGATGTTGTTCTTTTGCACATTCTCCCCTCACATGCACCCATGGCCGCCCTCATGCCAGGAGACAGCCAACTCCCTCCCGGTCCCGCTCGACGTCAGGAAGATTGCTGAGTTTCGATTCATTCTCGACAAGGTGGAGGCTCAGATGAAGGCAGAGCACGTGCAGAGGCAGAGGGACATCAAGCGCCAGGTGGATGAACTCAGCTTTCAGGGCATGAAAGAGGACCTCGAAAAGGACATGGACAAGATAGCCCAGTACAACAAGAGCTTGGAAGAAGCTCAACACATATGGTCGGACCAAGTGCAGTCGTACAAGATGAACCGACACGCAAGGGGACTTGTGGCAGTAGACGAGCTCATGACGAAAAGACTCAATGTTTGCGGGCTGAAGTCTTCCTACCTCGAGCTCGCGCAGCACTTCGGGCGATTCCGCAACAATGCGGAAGCAGGTGGTGCAGAGACGTTATTCGACAGCATTAAAGTTCATTGTACTGAAATTGATGTGATTGGCAGGCTTCAGGGTCTCAGCTTCAAGATTCAGGAGTGTCGGGCAAAGGGTTTGGGCTGAAAGCCGTTGGCGAGCTAATGATATCGTTTGCCTAAACCCATCATGCAGGCTT